CAATTCCTAAGACAGTCCTCTCCCTTAGATGCCTATTTAACATCATCCTACTCTATTTCTTCACAACAAATCACCTCAAGTAGGTGTAGGAAGAAAGTGATCCATTGGTTTATTTGCATTAATATATGTGTGTTTTCAGAAAAGAACAGCTTTTGGTTAGTTTGGATCTCTGGTGAGATTCCTGGCAATTTTTTTTTTAAATCCTCACCTGAGAATATTTTTCCATTTATCTTCAGAGTCAGGGAGAGAGCGAGAGAAAGAAAGAAACATTGATGTGAGAGAGGTACATTGATTGATTGCCTCCCACACAACCCCGACCTGTGCAGGGTATGCACCCTTGGGCGGAATCGAACCCAGGAATCCATGGGCCAACGCTCTAACCACTGAGCCAAACCGGCCAGGGCTGAAGTTCATTTTAAATAAGAGTCCACATTCAGTGGAAACAGTAAGAATTATAACTTTAGAATCTGCTTTATTACTAGCAAAAATTTAAAGTAGCTGAGACAACTTATTACATAATTGAATATTTTTGAAAGGCCAAAGGGAACAAGATAAGTTTAAATCAATTGATCATTTTATTATAAAATGTACCCAACTTGTCATTCCATATTTTTTCTCATATAATAAATACACTAAAACAGTGATTCTCAACCTTCCTAATGCCACGACCCTTTAGTACAGTTCCTCATGTTGTGGTAACCCCCACCCATAAAATTATTTTCATTGCTACTTCATAACTGTAATTTTGCTACTGTAATGTCTTAGGCGACCCCTGTGAAAGAGTCATGACCCACAGGTCAGGAACTGCTGCACTAAAACAACAATGACAAAAATTATTTTCTTTTAGGTTCTTTGTTTTCCAGATTAGGGGCTATTTTAGGGATTAATCAAGTTCTGATGACTTTGATTTGGTATCCTGAATAACACTACACATTTTATTCTGCATCCAATTTCCCAGATGAACTAAATATGATGCTTTCTTTTTGGGCCAGAAAAAGCAAAAGATAAGATACACTACAGGTAACTAATGCTATCAACGGCAAAAACAGTGACACACAAACACAAACTTCAGTTACACAGTAAACATAAACTACTTACAAGATGACGTCAGAATGCCAAAATTAACTAAACTAACCAAAAGCAATAATTCAAAATAGCTTTTCTCCCCAATTTTAAGAATATTACAACAAGGCTAACTCTATTTACTAAACATTGATAGGTAGTTTCTAGAAAATTATTGCCATCGGAAGAAATAAGACCAAAGGTGTTCAGGTTTTCTAAAAGGCAGAAGCAGTTTTTAAAAATTAAACTTTAACAGCAATCTCCAAAAAGTTCTAGGTAAGGTGAATTACCAAAAGTACATGGATGTGTGTCAGCCTAGGGTCTCTAGCAGCATGCTCAAGGACTATTTCTGACCTGTCTCATTCTACCTTTTATCAATGACTTGAATGTAGACATAGAAATCATGATTATCAAACCCGAAGAGAGAGAGCTACTGTGTTGCATAACATTAAAGAATCAATACTCAAGAAAACCTCCAACAAGTAGCAGATATGCCCTGACCTAAAAAAGTGAATTGTAAAGGAAATAAATGTAAGGTCTTACATTTAGGTTCAATCAAATAACTGTATTATCCCCTAATACCTAGGATGAGGGTGGATGTGGGTGGATGCTGATTTTAAAAGAACATGAGCGTTGTAATTGACCATTAGCTCAGTAAGTATGATTGACTGGAGAAAGAAAGCAAACACGATTTATCCTCTATTAATAATAGTAGTACCCAGCTCAAGAGAATATATAGTTCAAGTATATTCTTCACTGATCACTGTGTTCCACTCAGCACATTTTAGAAGAAACAATGACAAAACAGAGCATTTACAAAGAAAGGTAACCTAAATGATGAAGGGTTTGGAATATAGGATATTCGAGGAATTGGGGATGTTTAACTTGCAAAAGAGAATCTGAGGAAATATGTAACCTGTCTTCAAATATTTGAGGAGCTATCATATGAAAAAGAAATTGTTTAATTCTATGTAGCTCTAAATAGCAAAAATAATGTCTTTGTTTATAAGTTACATGAACTCCGTATAAAAAAGATCTTTTTAACATGTCAGTAAAATGGGCTGGCTTTATGGTGATGCACCCTCTACCACTTATATATATATTTATCCTTACCCGAGGACATTTTTGCATTTATCTTCAGATAGAGCAGGAGGGAGAGAGGGAGGAACAGTGAGAGAGAAACATCGATGTGAGAGAGACACATTGAGTGGCTGCCACCCACACAACCCCAACCGGGGCTGGAGACAAACTGCAATCTAGGTACTTGCCCTTAGTGGGAACCGAACCCGGGACTCTCTGGTCCACGGGCCAACGCTCTAACTGGTTAGCCAATCCGGCCAGGGCTAGATTCATATTTTTAAAAAATGTATTGAGCACCTAGGTTCCAGGGTGTGTACAAAGCACAATGATGATAGTGAGTAAAAACTAACATGGTCTAATAGAAGGTAAAGTTTAATGGTAGAGGCAAATAATCACACTAATAAATTTAAAATAACAAACAGACACATTTCTAAGGAAAACAATACAGTTCTTCAAGAGCATATAACAAAGGATCCTGACTTGAAGTATGGAATCAGAACAAGCTTCCTTTGAGTAGTTAAGTGATCTGAGTAGGAGAGAAATGGCTGGGAGTAAAACATTACAAAAAAAGGAAGCAGCACACACAAAGACCTTGTGATATGAGAAACCACTGCAGGTTCAAGGAATTGAAAGGCTTATATATAACCTGAGCATAGAGTAAGAGGGGGAGTGCAGAGAAGGGGGAGTGCAGAGAAGCAGGAGTAGAACCCCAAAGGACCTTACAGATTTGGTCTTCTCCCAAAAGTAATAGGATGCTATGGAGAAAGGGGTTTAATGGGCATGGGAGGGAACCACCAATGTGGAAAATGAAATAAAGAGACTACTTGGGAACTTCCTACAACAGTTCAGGTCAGAAATGATAGTTGTTAGGGAAAAGGAGGTGAAAATGAAGATGTTAGAGAGATGGATAGATTGGAGAGATTTTTAGGATGCTAAAATGACAGAACCCATGTGACCAGTCCAGTGGGTGATTTGGATATAGTTTAAAGCAGCAATGCCCCAAGCCAGATTCTTTGGCTCTAAAACATTTGGGGGGGGAGGGGAGAAGTGGGGGGAGGGGCAGACAGAACTCAGTGTTGGGGGATGTGGTGAAATACAGGAGGTATAAAGGATGACTTCCCCAGCCCACTCCAGGTTTCTAGCCTATATAAATGGATGGATGGTGGTGCCATTCGCTGAAATGTGAAACAGGGAAAGTACTAATTAGGTGGGCTAAGATCATGAGTTTGCATTTCAACAAGTTGAATTTGAGGTGCCTAGTTTTGAAAGGGTAGTTGATCTGGAACTTAAAGGATAAGTCTGGACTGGGAGTAAAATATTGAAAATCATTGCCATATAAATAGTATTTGAAGTTGTGGCATTAGAAGAAACTGCCCAAGGAGAAAATAGAGAGTGAGAAGAGAGCCTTGAGGAATATCTGTATTGAAGAACAGGGCAGAGGAGGGTAAGACAGCAAAAGAGAAGTATGAGTAAAAACTGGAGCAGGGCTTCACAGAAGCCATGAGAAGAGTGTTTTCCCATAAAGGAGGCAATGGTCAATCAACAATGCCACAAGCTTTTGAGACATGAAGCAAGACAAGGAATGAAAAATGTCAATTAACTTTAGGGACACATTTCAGTGGGAGGATAGAGCCAGAAACAGGCTGCAGTGGGTTGAGGGGTGAGTAGGTGGTAAACAAATGGGAGACAATGTTGACAATTCTATCAAGATTTCTGGCTGTAAAGTGGAAAGAGGAAAGGTGACAGGCAGTGAAGGTGGAGGGAGGGTTTGTTTTAAGATGGGTGTATCTTGAGTATATTAAGATGGAGCAGGTGAATAGAGAGGAGTGGGTTCCTGAAGAGGCCGAATTAAATGACCTTTAAGGTCTCTTCTCACTCTGGAATCCCATGACAATTTCTTTTAGATAGGACATTTACATGTATGCATAAATATATACAAACTTATTCAAATATTCTGGTATAAATAGTCAGTCAAGCACATCCTTATCCTCTAATGACGCAGTTAGTGGCCCCAGGTTTACGATCAGCGTAATCTCTTGGCAAGATCCATCCCTCCGAGAGCGTTTAGCTCAACGCACCCTGCAATATAGCACAGAACCGGCCCTATCTCCCCTCGCCAAACCCATTCTACAACACCGCGATCTTAGAGGCTAGGGGAGGAAGTAAAATTTAAAACCCTGAAACCACAACACATACTGCTGCGTTCGAAGCGACTGTCATTCATAAAAGCAAAACGTGACACCCCAAATCCCCAGTCCAAACTAAAGGCGTCTCGGCATGATCCGACAGTGACAGATCCCCCCGATGGCCGGGGTTTAACACTAGTCATTTGCACTTCCTCCTCCTTTCCCAAGACGTTTTATTGTGAAGAACCAGAAATGGGTTCCAAATGAAAATGGGTTCCTAATGATCCTTCCCACAGCCCTCGCCCTAATGCAGCAGACGGATCCTCCGCAGCTATTCCAGAGGCTACACCTAACAAGCCCAAGCCAGGGGTGCAGAGAAATCCCCCGAGTCCGTCAGACGGGGATGGAACGGCCACAATCCTGCGGCTGCCTTGAGGGGCTAAGGGGACAGCCCCAAGGGAGGGAAAGAGGGAATTAAGGGAGACGGAGAGACCCGGGTAGCCAGGGGTCCAACTCCCCTCGAGCTTTCTTTGGAGGACGGAATTTCTGAGGAAGGCTATTTCCCAGCCACCGCTCCCCCTTCTCACCCTCAAGCCCTTCTCTGGGCTGCTATCCACTCCAGCGCCCCATTTGCTCAGACCCAATCCTCCTCCCCTGGGTCTGTCCGGGCCTCGGAGCGCCCGCAACCCCGACGCCCCAGCCTTGAGCCGCGGCTCCCGGGCCAGCACTTACCCGGCCCGCCATCTTCGCCGACACGTCCGGCTCTTCAGCTGCAGCTCTGAGCCCAGCAGAGCCCGCCCCCACCGCGCGCGCGCGCCCGCCTCCCGCCCTCGCGCAGGCGCGCAGCCAACAAGATGCTGAGCACGCGCCCAGCCGCGTCCCCGGTTCCCCCACCGCAGGGCGCGCGCGAGCTCGGCAACTTCCAGGAGAGGGCGGGGCGTAGGCGCCATTTTGAACAGGAAGGAGGGGGCGGGGGGGTGCAGTAACTACAGTATTTCTAGAGCGTTTGTCCGCCAATGACTTTCTCCAGGGCTCCTTTATCGAATCTCATCACAGCTGGCCGTTTGCACTGGACTTGGTAGCGAGGCTTTGACTCTTTAGTCACCGATCCCCTCCTTTTTGCTTTGCCAGCTGCTCTTTGCCCTTTAATAGCCTTTAGCGTGATGCTTCCAGACCCACTGAAATGTGAAAATGTACACAAGAGTACCTAGCGAGGGTACTGGCCTGACCCCAACGAAGATCGGTGTCTCTGGGTCTATTTTGTTCATCCTCTTAATTTGTTCATTATATTCCACAAATAAGAGATCATGTGATACTTGTTTTATGTATTTCGCTTATGTATAGCCCGGAAAAATAGTTAATTTTTTTTTTTATCCTCACCAGAGGATATTTTTCCATTTTTTGTTCAGATAGAGTGGGAGGAAGAGAGAGGAAGGGAGAGAGAGAGAGAAACATCGATGTCAAGGGACACATCGAGTGGCTGCCACCCACACAACCAACCAGGGCCCGGGATAAACTGCAACCCAAGTACGTGCCCTTAGCAGGAACTGAACCCCGGTCTCTCTGGACCGCAGGCCGTCGCTCTAACCGCTGAGCAAAACTGGCCAGGGCTAATGTTTTCTTACAATTTAAAAGTGAATTGTAATTATTTATATATTTTAATGTTTATATTATTTTATTAAATATTTTATACTTGTTCTTATTTATAAAATTTAAGTGACCTGAAGATGGGCTAGGGACTGAAGAAAAATTGAGACCAGTTTCATAAACACTCATGCTGTACCTGAGAACCAGAGTGCTTTGTTGGACAAAACAGATGTTAACTAAATCATGGGTGGATCAGAGTTTAATAGGTAAGCTATATTACAAGGGAAAATGTCTCTCCAACCAGGAGGAATGTTTATCACCTAGGAACGACACATCTGCTGAAGAGAGTCCAGTGTCAGTTTATGAGCATATCTACCCTTAATAAGGGACCTTTTGTATCCTCTCACAAGTTGTGCAAATGCGCCCTCGCCAGTTTGGCTCAGCGGTTAGAGCGTCGGCCTGCGGTCTGGAGAGACCTGGGTTCGGTTCCCGCTAAGGGCACGTACCTCGGTTGCAGTTTGTCCCCGGCCCTGGTTGGTCGTGCGGGTGGCAGCCACTCGATGTGTCCCTTCACGTCGATGTTTCTCTCTCTCTCTCCCTTCCTCTCTCTCCCTCCCATTCTGTACAAAAAATGGAAAAATATCCTCGGGTGAGGATAAAAAAATAATAATAACAAGTTGTGCAAATGCAATAAAAAGATGTGCATAGCCCTGCAAGGTCTACCAAAGAAATTGTGCACAGACATGAGCTCTAGCCCTTAAAGTGTATTAACATTCAGCAGTAGGGGGAGATTCTGAGAAATTGCTCCAGGTTGTCACATGTCTATGCATCCCATCTGCTCTGATATTCAAGGTCATTTTAGAGTGAAGCTGATTTGGCATCACCTTCTGAGCAGTCCTCGGAGTGATAGTTGACAAACAACAAATATTTTTGCTGTTCCCCTTATTCTGGTCACAGCCCCCCCAGTTCATGCAGCCTTGGAAGCATTGTGGCCCAGGAGGTAGCACAGAACCCAGGCAAGGACCTTCATTGCCCCTCTTGCAGAAGATATCATTGTGAAGCAGACAAAGGTAGTTTTCAGAGCTCCCTTATACCCTTCCCTCTGCACCACCTCCTCTCTAAGTTCTTTCAGCATTAAATAACCTAATAGATTACTCTTCCCAGGAGTATATGCAATTTAAGGAATACCGCCTGGGACAGCAATGCCTAATATAAGGAAACAAGTCTCTAATGGCAAAATGTGAGAGGCTGTGACTTCTCTATGGGGAGTTAAATGTGGACAGCAGTGCTTATACTTGCCTCTCCGATCATAACCCCAGGTTAGCCACCCTGGCCTAAACCCAGGCTTTCAGGGAGCCTTATTGAAAATTTCACTTTACAGCCCCATCAGAGCCACTTTTAGAAAGATAGAGTTGCCATCTGTTTGTTTTCTATCAGAGAAATCTATTTCCCAAAATGATGGATAAAGCTAGAGAATAGAGCAAAATGGAGAAAGGATATGGGATTTTAAAAAACAAGACGACCAGCTAATGCAATGCAGCGTTTTTGGTTTTGGTTTTGGTTCATTGAGTGGGGATGAATATGTCTGGAAGATCAAGGACGAACACCTATAGTCACAAAAATCAATTCATTTGGGAAAGTCTGAGTGGGCAGGAGAGATGATAGAATCCTCCACGGAAGGGAATAAATGTTGCTATGGAAACCAGACCATCCTTTAGTGTGAGCCCTGATGCACTTGCCAGGCTGCCTAACCTTGCATATCAACATTGTGGATCCCGAGAGCTGCCTGCATCTTTGAAAAGGGATTATTCAGGTATTGGTCTGATGAAAATTCATGCATCTTGAGAAAAGGAAGTCTCCTGGGAGGGGCTGCATTTTCTAGAACCATAAGACACTAGAAGCCCACAAACCATAGTTGATTGAGATAACTGTATTAGCTCCCTGGGACAGTTCTCTGGAAGGCTCCTGAGAAAAAGTAAAGTGTGTCTTCAGGTTTCTTCTAAGGATGAGTTTACTGGAGAGCTGTTTCTAGGGCAAGGAATATGCACAGCAGAGCTTTCTAAGAGAGGAAGACATCCCTTGAACAGAAGTGTGAACAGAACAGAAGGATAAGTTCAGTGATCCTTGGGTGAAGGTGGTTTGGATATACTGTATGACATTTAAACTCTCTAAATTTAAATATTTTCATGTGAGAATTAGAAGAGATAAGTATCATAGAGTGCCTAATACATTCAAAACCTGACCGAGTGGTTACACAGCAAATACTGATTATCATTACCAAGAGTACTGTAACTATAATACTAACACTATTAACCAATTTTAAATTCTAACTCAGAGATGGGGAGCTATCTTCAAATAAGATGTTTCTCAGGGTGAAATGATCTCTCTGCTTCTCCCAAGAGCACTTTGTACTTTCCATGCTGCACAAATAATGTTATATTGACAAGAAGTGTTTTCTATTAAGAAAAAAATCCCCAATGAATGAATATCACCATTAGCAATTTATTTATTGAGTTACCACAGTTGAGCTTGATAAACTTCTCCTTAACAGCTATCATAATTCCAATTAAACTTCCTTCCTAATTGTTGAAATTTTATATTTTTTTAAAAAGTAAGTTGAGCCCTGGCCGGTTTGGCTCAGTGGTTGGAGCATTGGCCTGTAGACCAGAGAGTCCTGGGTTCGGTTCCCGCCAGGGGCACATACCAAAAAAAAAAAGGTAAGTTGAGTTTTGCATTATAAAATTAGTACAACATTTTCTCTCAGTCGCTTAACAGAAATTACAACCCCACCTCCTGAATCTGATCACTAATAAATTAGGTCTATTTTCTTTCTTTTTTTTTTTTATCATCCTCACCCGAGGACCTTTTTCCATTTTTTGTTCAGGTAGAGTGGGAGGGAGAGAGAGGAACAGAGAAAGAGAGAAACATCGATGTGAAAGGAACACATCGAGTGGTCGCCACCCACACAAGCAACCAGGGCCGGGGACAAACTGCAACTGAGGTACATGCCCTTAGCGGGAACTGAACCCGGGTCTCTCTGGACCGCAGGCCGATGCCCTAACCGCTGAGCCAAACCGGCCAGGGCAAATTAGGTCTATTTTCTTCTAGCTTTCCCTCAATATTCTCCATGCATATTATTATCTAAAAATATGAAACACATATACGTATAAGACATATGTGTATATAGAATGTGTGTGTATCTACATGGTTGTAATCATTTAACAACTGAGTGCCATGTGAGCAGGGACTTTGTTTTATTTTTAGGCACAATGAATATCTTGGGAAAATAATGCATATTCTCAGGTTGTGAAGAATAGGAGAATGAAGCCCTGTGATTATCAGCCCCAGTATTCCTTCTGCAGGTACAAACATTGGTAAGTAAAAATCTTATCTTTGCTATTTCAACTTTTTTTCAGATTAGGATGAATCCATTCAAACAACCTTCATAGTTGCTGGCAAAACAGCTGTACATTTTTGCCTTGGAAGTTAGCAGAAGGACATGAATAGATAATTTGTAGTAGATGAAATAAAAATACTAGTAAACATTTGGAAAAAATAAAGAAATGAAAATTAAACCAACATGAAATATTATCTTTTTGTTATCAAATTAGCAAACACTAATACCTCTCTTTTTAGAGAGCTTACCAAATGGAAAGCATGGCTTTCACTTGGTTGATGGGAATGTAAATTTATATAATCTACTCAGAAAACATTTTGGCAATGCAATATTTATCAAGAGCCTTAAACATCTTCATGTTTTCACCCAGTGATTCCACTTTTGGAATTTATTCCTAAAAAAATAGCAAGGAATGTAGGATGGAAAAATAAGATGCTCACTACAACATTATTCATAACAGAAAAACTTTAAACTAATCTAAATGTTGAACTACATAAAAATGATTTAATAAATTAATTTTAAAAAGAAAGTTAAAAAAGAAAATGATTTCAAAAATCAAGGTACAGCTATATGATAGAATATCACACAGCTATCAAAATATTTAAGAAAAATGTTAAGTAATGTGGAAATGCTCAAATTAAAATATTAACTGAAAAAAATCTAAAATTGTATGTATTCATAATCTAAACTATGTAAACATTGCATAGAAAAATGACTGGAAAGAAATAAACCACATGATAACAGTGATTGCCCCTGGATAATAAAATGATGGATAATTTCTTTCTCCTCCCTCTCCTC